ACAGCATCGCTGAGGTCCGTGAGAGCTTCTATTAGATTTTAATGTTTCAAACCACCTTAGGCTGGCTGGATTGATTTCAACACACGGCCGAGTGGAAATATTTCCGCTGTTCGACAAACTCATTTCTCATCTCATATTGCGCTTTAATTAACCGAAATGCAAACCAGTATAAAAGGACAAAAGGATAAAGCTCTCAGCATTGATTCTCAGCATCCCTGAGGGATGCGCCATACATTCGACTTAACTAAGCATCGTTGGAGGTGATTGAGTGCATGTCTGGCGTTTACGTGACTCGCGGTGTCGTACCGATGTGTCGAGCAAGTTTGCTATCCTCAAAGATATCTCCGGTACTAATTTGCCGATCCCGGAGGGATGGAGGGCTTGGTGAACCATGTGTGCGGGGATCGATTCGAAGTGTGTGTGGCAGGGCGCCTCCGAACATTGTGCCACACGCGCCCATTTTCAAACATGCATAGTGTTCAAATATTTGCCAAGGGGTGAGGTACTCCATCTCTACCAATATCAGTTATTCAAGTTAATGGAAATTTATTGACTGTTATCAAACAACTACCATCTGAAAATGCTTCCACTTTCTCCAAACTCCTCTCTCACCTCATAGTGTGCAATACTAGCAGGAATAAACTAGTATGCCATTGAAATATCTGTCGTATGGTTGCAAATTTTCGTGCTCAACGAAAAGGTGTCGTTCAAGTCAATGGAAAATTGTTAGCGCTTGTTAGAAAACCACCATCGTGATTCGGATCACACATTTTCATATAACATGCGCTTATATCTTTTTCTCAGATTTTGGCATGTTGTAAAATAAGTGTTCCATTATTGTAAGATATTCTAGTATGTTCATATCGGACACGGCCACCACGGCGATGATGGTGCCGATCGGACAGTCGGTAGTTAGTCAATTAGTGGCATCTTACAGTTCACATCAGGAAAACAGGTTAGCATTATATTAAATTAAGGCTTGAAAAATGTTTGTTTTGAGAGATGTGGTCAACTGGTGCTCTTTGGCAACATAAGATTAAGGTAGAAACCACTGTCTGTCATAGACCCAATTGTTCTAGCGCTTAGTTTGTTCTGCACTTTGAGGATATAAAAATTCATTCCACTTGTGCTAATGTGGTTGATTTATACGTTTAGCGAACCCATCGGCCCCTCTTGATCGCAACCCTCCCGACCCAATTTTGATTGTTGTCTAAATCCAGTCTAAGTATATTCTCGTTTACATGTCGTCTTTTTTCTATTCTGTGACTGACACGTCGACATTTACTTCTTGACAGGTATTCCGGATTTGTACTGAATGCACCAGTATTCGTCTTCAGAAGGGAGCGCTCAAGTGTTTTGTGTATTGTATGTTATGTCATAGATGTGGCTGGTGCATTAGAATACGTTCCCATTGCATCTTACAAGATTACAAAAAGCATCTTACAAAAAGCAAACCACCTCAGAAACTGTGATAAAACTTATTGAGTTCAACGAAGAAAAGAGGAAAGTGAGCTACAAAAAACAGGAAGAACACTCACGGTGAACTCCAGTTCATGAATGTGAGACAGAACATTGTATACTACATTGCACAGAACTCTTAGAAGACTCTATCCTACGGTTATGCTAAGTACATCTAATGAATGTGTTGATTTGAGAGAAGAACCCGGCAGGACACGAAGAGCAGCAGATGAGTGCTGACCATTAGAATAGACTATCCCACGAATACAACCAGTCATAATACCCTTGTGCATCCGTAATGCATCTGATGTGAGATTTGTTTCGTCCACTGGAGCCATTATGAGTACTTTCCAAATGATGGTGACCTCGCGAAAGAGCGCTGAAACAAGATTTCGATGCGTACAACTGAATGATGCCAATGATCCAAGCAAGTTGAAGCACTATTAGGCACGTAGGCAGTCTTCATAAAATGTTGGGAATATGCCGTCGCTTTATGTATGATGCCACTGATGCCTTATTTTTGTTAAATGCTTACCTAGTATAGTTTTTTCTAAAGTCGAGAAATGACCACGTTGGAGCATTCCTAGATGTTCACTACAAACAGTCTCAGAACTCGATCATACGGCAAGTTTCCGCTTTCGTGCTAAATTTCTTCGAAAGCGACAACGTTTTATTCGTTTACAGCGAGCTCTGTGATTAGTCAGCCACATCTCAAAGGAGATATAGCAACACAGAAGTCCCACAATTTTTCAATTCTTCAGGACTGACGCCACACGTGTCGAGTAGATCGTGTGATAGTGGGCATATTCGTCAACTCAGTTTGCTTTTTAGTTAAGCTGAAATGCCATATATTGAATTGGATAATGAGCGCTTTTGTTTTAAAAACAAAATATCAGTGGTACATGAAACGTTGAACTATCACTGATGCAAAGGAATGATCAGGGCATTCGTGTGAAAAATACTTGAATTCCTAAATTTAGCACCTCCACAGGAAATCCAGGTCCGAGCATATTTTTCTTCTAATTTGTGTGTTAGTTTGCAACTAGAAGAACCGGATTTGTCTTCACTGATAGTTGTGAATGGAAGTTTTCTCAGAATCAAGGATTTTCTTATACACGACCTGTGTTTTCACATCTGTTGTGCGGATCCCATCACTTCTCGCATCCATCATCCACGATGATCGTCGAACTTTCGCATGTGAATTTGGCAGCTGCTTGAAGATTTTTCCCTCTATCATCAATACTATTAAATGCTGGTTGAGTAGATTCCTCTTGGAGTCCAGGAATAGCTGGGCTGGCGCGTTTCCACTGGGATTGTAGGGAGTGCGTCCTAGACGAGCCCGGTTCCAATTCCCGGTCCCGGACGGATGACAGGCTTAATGAGTCTGAGGCGAGGTGGAGCTAGCATTGATTTCTCGTCTTCGCTGAAGAAAATTTTGGGAAAAAGAAACCCAAAAAAAAGTCCAAATCATTCTACAAACCTGTACTTGGTGTTTCGACTTCTTATGCTTATGTTTGTTCATTTATGCTCATAATCTTTCAAGTTGCATTATTTTTCAGTTTTAGATTGGATTTTTAGAAGTCAAAATTCACTAGATTGCAAGTGTGTGTCGACAGCTCTGGTGCTGTGCATCTCTATCGCCGCGAACATCGGTGGCACGGGAATGCTAACTGGTACTCCGAGCAATTTGGTAATGCTGGGGCAGTTAGAGGAGTGAGTGAACAATTCACCGTCTCTCTAAAATACCTTCAATTTCGAAACTACTTAAAAATTCTTCACTAGCCTACATCCAGCTTGAAAGGATTTGTTGCGCTTCACATTTCCTCTTCTTCTTTAATTCAGAAGCAAGCATTTTTTTCAACGTTGTATTCACAAACCGTAAAACTGCGTGGTGCTTTTGACCTTGTGTATACTAGAAGAATATCTTTTTAGAAAATCGCATTTTAATAAAAGTGCCACGAAAATAAATTTTTTAAGCACCGATCAAATATGGAAGTGCAAACGCCCTTTGTCGCGGTCAAGACCGGTGTAAATTTAACATTCTACGCCACCTCTCGTTTCACTTTTCGGGTCTTAAAGCTTCAATATTACGTTGAAATTGACAGGATACTGCAGAATTACCTACATAGAGTAACAAGTTGATCCAATGAACTTTATGGGATAATTCAGAGTAGTGCAGAACCCACAGACGGCAGTCTTTGGATGTTGCACTAAGAAGCCTTTATTGTACTCTGGGGTATTTCGGATCGTTCGCACTTAATTACACATTAGAACAAAGATTCTAAAAAAGTGTTTCCAGAAGAGTTTGCTGTGCGATTATTTACTATATTTTCAGCTTTTTTGAGCCAATCAATTTTTTTCTAGTGCGGCTTCACTGAGTTCTAAGTCAATGGTGACAGCGGTGATATGTTAGGAAGGAGCCGACCACTATGTATAACGGCGCACTGCGGTAGCACGGCTTCTCCAGTTTATTAACTGCAGCGCGCTTGATGTATGATAGGAAAATTTTTTCAAAATTCTTCTTTGCAAAGGAGAAAACCTACATGGCAAAAAACCTATTTTTGGACATTTGAATCCCCTCCTCACGACCTACCAAAAATTCTGCAAACCGGTGCAAAGTTTTCGGTTGACTAGTAGTTTGCTTTTAGAAAATATTTTCTTTCAATGAAAAGGCTCGCTTAGGGTGACCCAGACCGTCAAACCGCTCGTCAGCATATATCTATTTTGTTGGCAAGATTGCAGTGATTTGTGACAGTTTTCCTCTTAGCTGAGCTTTCTGATGGAAAGCTCTCTTTACATAAACCACTTTACTGGCGATAAAGTCCTGTTGCAAATTGCAATTCGACGTCTAGGAAATGTTCAAGCCATATTGGAGTACTGAAGCAAGAGTGTAGACGATCATGCGTGCTAAAATGTTACTCTATGAACAGGCGAACTAAAGACTGTTTTCTTTTCGATATGCTTAGAGGTGAATTGCAGTACATAGCATAACGACTGATGTGGCATCAGTATTCACCAATATAAAGCCATCTCTTTTCATTTATGGTATTTTAGTAAATTCCACAAAAGAAATGCTACTATTTGGTAACAGATAGCACTACGATCTACACGAATAACGATTTCCTGTTTTCAAAAAACTTGGCATGCTCTTTTCTAAAGATACTCTCCCATAGTTCATGGCATCCGCTATCCTTACATAGTTATGAATACGGATTTTTCTTCATTTACGACGGTATTGTCACCACATGGCCTTTGTGAAAAAATTTACCCATAGATTAAAAACTCAAGAGGCTGACTTTCTATGAACCTCGGCATGAATAGTCGATTCATCAAAATATATGAACTCCACTAGTTGAGTTTATGCCGCTTCGATTTATGTTGTCGTTGTTGTTGACTTCGATTTTTATAGATTGTTTGGTGATGTTGAGTCGTCTATGAATTATATGAAGTGGTTTCTCTTCGCATTTCCGTTGATGTGCTTCAATCTGGCAGCAGCTTGGACCATCTTAACCATGTTTTTCCTCCGAAATACACCCGGAAAGGACGAGCATATCACTGAGTTAATACAAAAGAGATACGCCGACCTGCCCAAAGCAAGGTTGCAGCTATACTATTTCTTAAAGTTTCTACCTTAAAAATATTACCTCTGTCGCTCCAAAAGGATAAAGTGTTCGATGTAAATTAATCTTTGAGGGTACAGTGGTGCAATGCGTTCGCCACCATCGAGGATCATAAAGGCAATTGAATACATATTTAGCCCGTACCTTTTGGAATGCAGCCGCAGCCGTGAGCCAACCCTTTTGTCTTTTCAGGGAAGTGTGACACATATTTGCCGACGCCCGAAGGATGGAAGGCATGAAGAACCCAAGCTGCCAAGTTAAATCGACGACCGTTCTGTACTAAAAGGCAGCTCTAACTACCGAGCCACATGCGCCCAGTTCGCTCTGAGATGTGCCTGGGGATAAAAACTTTTACATAAAGAGATCAGCAAAAGTAGTTGTAAAAGCCAAATA